AGGGACAAAAACATTCAACACACTGATAACAAATGGTTGTCTCTTAGCATATATATATATATATATATATATATATATATATACACACACACACACACACACACACACACACACACACACGTGTCGGTGTCACACTTTCAATTTTACTCCTAGATGCCCAATATATTATACCATGTTGAATCTGGCCGACTCCATAAGCAAATTAAAAAAACACTCTGGGCCAGATCCGTACCTGCAATCCTGAAATTGAATTTTCATTACTGCAATTGTTTTTGGCGTGTTTTGTTTGTTTCATTTGGAGGGGGGGTGCGACAATTTTTTTGTATGATAACAATTTCTATAACTTGGGGATAATGGAAATTAAGTACGAAATCCAGCAAAAGTCACCCATGAAATTGTTTGTACAGAAAGTAAGAGCCTACGTACATGAAATATTCTTTAAATTAAGTGGCGTCTGAAGAATTATCATTGAACTTTCAAAAGGTAACCTTACATATTAATGCACGTTTAATGCAGTGATCAAGTTTGAATTTTTCTGTAGTTTATTGTTGTCTATTACATCTTCTCCTCCCTACTTAGTGTGATTAAGGCCCAATGAAGAGCCCTCCCGCAGGAACTAGCTTAAATGCTGCTCAATACAGTGGCTTTGAAGCTAGTATATATATATATATATATATATATATATATATATATATATGTGTGTATATATATGTGAATGAAGACAGATTGTGTTTAGAGAAATACAATGTTCTATGAGTGATTAACACTGCATGATTACTTTAATACCACAAGCATTTTTTTGAAGCGATATGCCACTATATATATATATATATATATAAGGTGGGTGAGGAAGGAGTCTCAATTCCTTGTAAAGATTAATTCACTGAGGTTTACCAATAAAACTACTATCTACTCTGAATTCAAATTCACTGGAAGATTTTTGAATACATATTAAAAATTGATTAAATTTGTTATTGACAATATTGATCAGTTAAACTGTATTTGACTTTTTACTAATAAATTTTTTTTTTTTGTTTCAGGTAAGTTTCTTTCCTACTTGGTAGAACGTTACTTGTATGTAAGTATTTTAAATATTTGTTGATTTTATTGGCTAGAAACAGTAAGCAAAATATATGGGTTTGAGGTTTGTTTGTTCCCCCACCCCTTCAACTAAAATTCAAAGTACTTCAGTTTTTGTTTCCATAAGAATTACTTGCATCATAAGTTTCAAGATGAATTATTATTTGTGTTCCAATAACTCATCTTAGACTCGTAGCATTTCGGCTAATATACCCTCTGGCCTTCATCAGAATACCTTGTCAAAAAGACCATAGTACAACTGCCAAAATGGGAATATTGCAAACACAATGAGTATGTTAGTCTGAAGAAATATTTCTTCCATCTATATATATATATATATATATATATATATATAGGATCTCTTAAAATCAATGTTCTACAGCTGCCCTACCAATTAAGCTACAGAAACCACTAGCTATTCTCTATTTTCTCTGGCCACCTTTTTATTATTATTTTATTCTACATAAGGAGAAACATTTGGAATTTTTTATAAGAAGCAATGAAGTTTTAATTAACTAGAAGAAAACATGTTAAATCAAAAACAGAATTAATATATATATATATATATATATATAATTGATATTTAAAAATCAAGTAATCTTTTCATACATTTTATATATATATATATATATATATATATATATATATATAAAAATATCTAGTATATATAAAGTGCAGTGTAGTATCTATTTGCTCTAACATTTTTGTTGACTTGGGTGTTCTGTAGTATTGGTGCTTTTGTTGATGAGTGTAGGGGTTCCGTGTACTATTGGCTCAAACTTGTCAGAAAACTGATACCTATGTAGTATCTGTGCACTGTGAGTTATTAAATGTTATTGTTAGACAAGTGGAAATATGTCAGACTATCATTCCAACTGAAAGAGTTTACTGTATTTGGTGGCATATAAGGCACACTTATTTTTATTAAAAATATCCTGGGTCTTATATGCCATATGTAGGTTTAAAATTCACGATAGTTTGCTGAAATTAGCTCTCTGGCAACTCCTATTAGCTTAAGACTTAAACATGAAGAAGCAATGGAACACGTGAATGGCAATGCCTGATCACAACCTTACACTTACAGGAAGAATAAAAAGACCCAGCATTGCACAAGTCTGTGAATGGATGAAGCAAGCTTGGATTAATATTAGGCCAGAAATTGTTGTGAAATCTTTTAAAAAGTGTGGCATTAGCAATGCTCTCAATGGGACAGAAGATGACGCATTTTTTAATGACGATGATAGTAGTATTGAAAATGAGTATCAGTTTTGATAACAAAGATGGCAAATTTTATGGATTTGAAGATTAATAAAATTTTAATGCTAACTGTACTGTTTTGCTCAGTGGCAATAATTGCTTGATTTTTAATTTGTTTTCTTACCTTTGAATATAACAAAGTTTTTATAGGCTTGTGTTCTTTTTCTCCTATTATTTTTTTTTTTTTTTTTTTGTTTAATTGTAATTGTGGCTTGTTTAACCAAAATAATACCTCATAAATATAGCCTAATGGATGTCAGTTATCTCCTGTTAATTCACGCCTCCAAGTTCTCCACTGCTTTAACCAGATATTGAACTCACAACTCATACCTGGTTAAGGCAGTGGAGAACTTGGAGAGGTGAATTAACAGGAGATAAATGATCACTGACATCCATTAGACATGGCATGTGGAACTAGAACAGTCTACCCCAGTGAGCGAAATAAAGGGTTCAGTTCGGCATTCCAACCACCTAAAGAAGGCTGGTGCAGCTTTCTTTTGATTTTGTCAACTGCATATTATAGTAGGGTCAGTTGGTGACAATCTGTGAGAAAATTGGAAACAGCAGGCTGTACTGAAGCTCCACTATGAGCATTTCAGTGTGTTTGGGTATCAATCTGAGAACAGGGTAGAGGATTCGAAAAGAGTTGGATGAGTCTAATGGTGATTACGAAGGTGTTTGGAGTGATCACTAGTGATGGTGATGTTATGCCTCCATTGATCTTCCTACAAGGCTTCAGCCTCAACACAGAGACCTGCATTCAAGTGCCTTGAGGAGTTATTACTACCCTGGGTCAAGAGGGTGGCTGCTGGAACACCTTATATCTGGCAAAAGGACTCTGCACCATGCCACAAAGCAGGAGCAGCCAGTCATAGTAGTCAGACAATTTCTGCAACCAGATACCCCCCCCCTACATCTGGTCATCTAACTCCCCAGACTGCAACCCCTTTGATTATGTGTGGGGCGCAGTTAAGCAAGTGACCAACAAAACTCCTTGTAATACCAAAGATGAACTGAAGACAAGGATTATGACAACATTCATCAACTTAAACAAGGAGACCATCCAGAAGAGTTGCAGGAGATTCTGAAGTCGTCTTGAGACCATGGTTGTTGTCAGTGGCAATTTTATTGAATAAATTTACTCTTTACTATTTCAAATTATTTTTGTGTAATTTTCATAAATATGTTAAAATGAGATATGTGCTATTTTCATTTTTGTGTAAATTAGACAATTTATCCATCGCACCTCATATATAATCACAAAAATACAATGTTTTTAAAACCACATAATGTCGAAGTACTAATCATTTAATATTATAGTAGGCAAATGTATCACGTTCAGTTACAGATATAGTAATTACATTTTAAATTAAACATGAACACATCAGTCGGTTAATGTCCTTGTTTACTCAACAAACAAGAAATTTCATTTAGCATTTCAGAACAGTTAAGTGTATATGTAAGTCAGTCATGTGCCATACATGATGCACGCTTAGGCGATCATGTATCTTTTGATACATGACTGAGGAGGCAGATTTTTTTTTTCCCCCCATAGTAGGTTGCCATTTCTTTCTGCAGTAAATCAGTTGCCATCCAAGGCTATAGAACCCAATCTGTCCTACTATTTACCCATAGCTAGGGGAGAAAAGGATTCATACCTTTCCCAAGTGGATTAGAACATAAGTGAAATATAATGGATCGACTGGAATTCAAACTTTGCTCTCTGATTTGTTAATCAGAGCCGCCACCCGTTACACCATCGTGCCATGTATATGTAAAATTCTCATTAAATAGTATGTTATTTTTTTCATTGGATATGCGTTTTTTTTTTTTTGTTCTCCTTGTTTTTACGAAGTAATGTCTGGTAAAAAAAAAAAACTTTCAAAAATTACTGTTTACGTTTTGAGTTTTGAACTGAAGCTAGTAGATATAGATTCATAGAATTCCCATCAAAGAAAACTTGCTTTCCTTAAATGGGTCATACAAACCTCTTGCTCTATCAGGACCACCAGCTTCCTTCTGTAAAACATCACTTTCTATTGAAGTCTCAGCAGAAGTGCCTCGTGTTGTTGAGACCTGTGGAATTTATGGGACAATAGACTGAGTCCTCCTGAAAAGTGGACTGAACAGTTACCAAAAGTTTTATCTACAAAACTCCAGAATTGAGATGCTAAATCAACTAAGTGACAAATTATATATATATATATATATATATATATATATATATATAATATATATATATATATATATATTCTATTAAGAACTATTAATAAGAAATTTAAGTTTACTTGTTGGGAAGTTTTCTTTTTTCTGGACAAGAGAAAAAAAAAATAGTTTCCAGGGGAAATTTTGCACTAAAGGAACTGATTGGCTGCAACATTTTAGTATCAAGCACAAAAACAAGCTCAATTGTCCAAAGAAAATTTGCAACAGAAGATTTGATATATATCTCAAATGTTATATATGTATGTATTTTACAAACAAAAATTTGGTTAAAGCATCTTAAATTTGTAATATATTTGTCTTTTTTATTCCATGATGACATAATGAGGGTGGAATTCGTTCGTCTTTATCAAATAACAGCACTCATCAAAATATAAGTTGGCAGCAAAAATTTAATTTAAAACTTGCAACTTGGCCTTAATTCAGCAGGACTTTGAGTTATGGAGATGCTTAAAACAATCATAAAGAAAATTTTCTTTCTACCGTTTCCCTTCTCTCGTGTCTCTCTTTTATTCCCCATTTCTCTCTCGTCTTTTTTATTACCCCCCCTTCCCCTCTCGCGCGCATACCCCCCCCTTCTTCCTTACCCCCTCTCGCGCGCGTACCCCTCTTCCTTCCCCTCTCGCGCGTACCCCCCTCTTCCTTCCCCTCTGCGCGCGTACCCCCTCTTCCTTCCCTCTCGCGTACCCCCTCTTCCTTCCCCTCTCTCGCGCGTACCCCCCTCTTCCTTCCCCTCTCGCGCGTACCCCCCTCTTCCTTCCCCTCTCGCGTACCCCCTCTTCTCTTCCCCTCTCCTTCCCTCTCGCGCGCGTACCCCCTCTTCCTTCCCTCTCTCGCGCGCCCCCCCTCTTCCTTCCCCTCTCGCGCGTACCCCCCTCTTCCTTCCCCCTCTCGCGCGTGCCCCCTCTTCCTTCCCCCTCGCGCGTACCCCCTCTTCCTTCCCCTCTCGCGCGCGTACCCCCCTCTTCCTTCCCCTCTCGCGCGCGTACCCCCTCTTCCTTCCCCTCTCGCGCGCGTACCCCCTCTTCCTTCCCCTCGCGCGCGTACCCCCCCTCTTCCTTACCCCTTCTTCCTTCTCGCGCGTACCCCTCTTCCTTCCCCTCTCGCGCGTACCCCCTCTTCCTTCCCCTCTCGCGCACCCCCCCTCTTCCTTCCCTCTCGCGCGTACCCCCCTCTTCCTTCCCCTCTCGCGCGCGTACCCCCTTCCTTCCCCTCTCCGCGTACCCTTCTTCACTTCCCTCGCGCGTACCCCTCTTCCTTCCCCCTCTCTCGTGACTCTTTTTATCTCTCTTTTGTCCTTTCTCTTGTCCCCTCCCATTTCTCCTGTCTTTCATATACATACAAAAAATTGTTTATTGAATATCTGTGGCCCTGTCAATGTATTTGCTTGACTCAATGGTTGTATTCTGCCTTTTTTCTTTTTTTTTTTTTTCTTTCTTTTTTCCTCCACTTTGTCTTTTGTCCAAAATCTTTACCTCTTCATCCTTTCCTCAAAAAAAAAAAAAAGCCCTAAGCACACTCATTGCATTCTCCTCCTTACTATCTCTGCTCATAGATGCCCAATTCAGGTTGAGTAGGGGTGGCATGCAACTCTTGGGAAATGCAAATCTGCATTTTTCATTGCAGTCTGATTCTATTGCAAATTCTCCACTGCAACGGAACAATTTTTGCCTTGCATTTGTGCTGATTTCCCTCCCCCTCTTCTCATTGCTCCAGGAAAAAGTGAGGCAAAAAAAAAAATCTTTCTCCTCTTTTAATTTTGAAAGATTTTTGTCATCTCTCATAATCAACGTATTACTTCCATTTATAATATGGATTCACTCTTGAATAGTTCAAGGGTCATCCTTCCCACGTACTCTGAAATCCGTGATTCTCATTGGATTACAGCCAGGAGGAGAGATGATTGGTTGAGTAAACTAGCATTTAAGTCGAACTGGTATTGAATGTCATACAAAAGTTTCTCTCAGACGAGCAGCTCCCAAAGTATCATTGTGGGAAGTGATTACTGCTTATTAGATTTTGCATGTTGTGAAACGGATTTTCAAAGGCTTTTACAAACTTCAAGTGTCCATTGTTTTAACAATCGAAAAGGTGGCACACAAATCTGAAGGGATACCAAAAGCTGGCTTCCAAAAGCTAAACAGAGTATTAAGAAACAGGAAAATTTCATTAGAAATAGTGTTGAACTGCTATATAATACCATACCTATCCTCCTGTATAGCAGTAAATGCAGGTCAATTTCCTTACAAGTGAAGAGACTTGGATCGTGAGCAATGTGAGTCTACAGGAAAATACTGAGAATACCATTGGCAGAGAATGTTTAAAATGAAGTTTTAAAGAAAATGAAAAAAGGACACTTAGAATCAGAAAGAGGTAAAATTTTTAGGATACATGTGGAAAGAAAGCTTGGAGAATTTAACACTCTCAAGATATTGAGGCATGAGGTGTGAAATGGGAAATAACCTACCTAACAAGCTTGTGTAAATGGATGATAATTCAAGTGCAAAAGACAGCTTAAAAATAAAGACTTTTCTATTAGCAACAAAGGACAAGAAATGGTGGAAAGTCATAATTACCCACATGCTGAATGATGCTTTACTATATAATTGAAATAATACTTAATAAATGGCATATTTGGAATTTGGGACACAATTTTTATAAGGTAAGCCATGCATACCTTGTGTTACATTGAGAACAGGAGAGTGGAGGAAACATGATGGAAAAAAAAAAAACTATTGAAAATGACCCTTAAACACTTAAGAAATATTGCATCTATTGTTTTATCATTTTTAGAATGGGATCATTAACCTTACTAAAAATTCTTTCTAGAATTGTTTGCCACTGCCATTTTTTTTTTTTTTTTTTTTTTCGAGGGTGCAAAAACATGGACACCTACAGTTTTAAAATTTTGCTAGAACTTTGTGTTGTGCATATAGATTTGTTTTTTTTTTTTTTTTTTTTTTTTTTTTTCATACTAATAAAAGAATAAATGAGTAATATTTTGATGTAATGCATTACGTTTTACACGCATATGAAAATAAATACATTAACAATTTCACATACTTTAACTTTTATTACCCCTTGTGATGTTCTGGGGTGCAATAAAATAGCTAAGAAGGCTTTTTATTTTATTAAAAGTGGCATGCTTCCTTGTGTTTACATATGAGTACACACCAGCATTTGTTTGTTCTTTCTTTCACCCTACTAGTTGACAAATAAAGTTATTTCATCATTTATAAATAGCCTTTCTGAAGGTGAATTATTTCGTCTATCAGGTATATCGATGGTCACCAGTAGCTTCTATAAAATTAGTCAGCCATAGATGATAGTAGCTGCTCGGCACCTAATGGTCATCACTTTTGCCCACGTTTCTAAATTTCAACCATTTCACCATCAAAATCCACTTGAGTAAAGCCTTCAAAATCATCAATGAAGTCTGAATCAAAGAAACTTTTGAATAAAGGCTTTCTTGGACATTGATGCAGCCATTTTTGTTTACAAAAAATTTAACAAGGGTTTAATCAATGTTACACCTCATGTAGAGGAATTGAGAATGGCATAGGAAAACTGAAGTTTATCCTCATTCCATTGCTGGAGTAGGCTATTTCCAGCTTAAAATACCGGAAATAACCGTTGACAAGTGTTTATTTATAGCAACCCTCTTGAGGTGACAGAATGCGCCCACAGCATGCAAAGGGAGAGAATTCTCCAGCAATGTTTTTGCCTCCAGTGAGATAAAGGTTAAAAAAGGAAAAAAAATCATGCTTATACCTGGATTCCAACACAATCATGCAAATACGTTCTGTCAATAAAACCCAACCACTCTATATTTAATGACTTTTGTCTCATTCTCTTTATATACATGCTCATGTTCTGCTAATGAAATAGGAAAAAAATGGATCCTCAGAAAGTACACTGTCACACAGCCTTGATATATATATATATATATATATATATATATATAATATTTTAATTTTTTTCAAATTTAAAATTTTTTTTATATATTTTTAATATATTTTTAAATCTAAACAAGTTTTATTGTTAATCTTATATTTTATCTGTAAGCATATTGTCATAATTTTGAGTGGCAACAATTTTATATATATATAATATATATATATATATATAATTTCATTTTATGAGCCCAACTTGGGTGTTATGGTTAACATCTGAGGTGAATTTGTGTATGAGTTGAATAAAGCTAACGCATTGACATTAGCTGAAATAGTCTATAGTCATGACGTAATTTTAGATTTCTCTGTTTTTTGTTTTTTTTATATATATATATATATATATATATGCACACAGGTATATTTAAGGATATTTTCATTGAAGCATGCTTGATTGAATAATGTCAATGTGCTTATTTTAATTTTAATCCTCAAATTTTGTGATCAACTTTTTAATCTTAATATTAAATTCATTAACGGAGGCGCCATAGTTTTTTTTTTTTTTTTTTTTTTTTTTTGTTTCATTTTTTTTTCTCCAAATACTTTCATTCTCATCCAAGATGATCTTCAGGGGTGAAATGCTGAGACAAAAAAATTAATGTAATTTATAGTTGTGAATTTTTTTGTAAATGCACGATACACACTCTGTTGCAATTATAAACATGCATGAATGTGCTACATTACAATCAACTTCAGCAGTTAATTTTTAAATTATCATGTTTTATCTAAGAGAGGTAACTTGAATTTATATCATTTTTTTTTAATTACAATTTAAGAATCTCCAAACATCACTGTCATGTGAATTCGAGAGGATTAATTGAAAAATTGACATGTGTCCAGATTATTTAACCAAACGTGCTTGAATCAATATATATATATATATATATATATATATATATATATATATAGCGTAAGACACCCTATCAAGTGGTATTTAAACTAGTTCTTGAAGAGGACTCCGGATTGGGCCTTCATCACAATAGGTATGACAGAATAGAGGCAATAGGCAACAATAAACTACAGAACTCAAAATTGATTGCTGCAAGTATTGCATTAACATATAAGCTTACATTTAAGGTAATTCTTCTGTGTAATGTGTGTGTGTGTGTGTGTCTCTCTCTCTCTCTCTCTCTGTGTCTCTCTCTCTCTCTGTCACATATGCCCACACAGTAGGGTGTTTAGTCTTCCCTTTTTCCTAAAAATTATTCTGATGGTGCCAATAATTCATCACTTTGTAAACCTAAACAGCAAATAAGCATTTCAGAAATCAGTAAAAAGGGAATTGGATTGAGAAATGGATGCATGCTTCTCTTCTTCTCTGTAACAATTGTCCCTTTTTGGGATGAATGGAATACATACAATTTCTAAAATCTTTTTTCTCTCTATTTTGTCAATCACATGATTGGGGGACAGACACAAGATCCTCAAAGTGTATGTTGCAACACGGCCCATATAGATTTCCATATGTCACAGCACCCCATTCATATTCAAATAGTTGTTATTTGCATAACATGAAAAGTCCAATCAACTTTAAACGAGCCATTCTTGACCTCGTTGGCTTTCAAAGCAGCAAACCTGAATAGCCATGTTTAATATGCGTACATTCAAAACAGAATGTTTGCCTCCCTTTCAAGGTTTATTTCCCCTCCGAATGAATGGTGCAACATCCGAAACAACGATTTGTTCTATTCTGTGTCCCATGATGCATCTGTCATCTGCCTCTCCTGCACAAGTACAGTTTTATTTGAGAGTTTAAAAAAAAAAAAAAAAACCCGTTTTTTTTTTTTTGTCTCAATTTGTTATATATTTTTTTCTTCTCTCTGAGGCAATAATGAGTTTTTCATCTAAAAAAAAAAAAAAAAAAATTTTGATGTGTTGGTTAATTTCCCACCCGTTCTTTACTCTTATATGCACAAACAGGTAGGGGGAGGTTAATATGCAATAAACAGGTCTTAATAAAAGTGTGGTTGGGAAAATCATTTATAGTGTCAGAAATTTAATGTCTAAGACATTTTCTAGATACTCTACTGTAGAATCTAATTCTATCCTCCAATAATACTTGCATTTTCTAATAAGAAAATTGCATGTGGAGGAGCCATTGCACAGCTTAATTAGTTATGCAAAAAGAAGTTTACATAAATACAGTCTTGCATAACTCTCATAAAAAATCTAAAGTACATTTGTTCCGCATCATCTTATCAGAGAGTGCAAGAAATCCAAGTGATGAGGTTGGTGTCAAACCAAAAGAAATAAAACAACTTGTTTATACAATTTATTCAAACAATCATAAAAGTGTGCAAAGAAAAACTTGAATCGACTTTTATAATTACTGTTTCCTGTTTGGGCCATGGTGAACAAGAGTGTGGGGAGTATTGAAAAATTAATAAATTGGTTTTAATAAATGTAGAAAGAAGGAATCAGAAAATTTTCCTTAAAAAAAAAAAAAAAAAATCCATTCATTGTAGGGTACCATGTTTTCTTCGATTTACATGACATTACTGTTTCTCAAGACTGGACTTTTCTCTCTTTCTCTCCTCCAGCTCTCTCTCTCTTTCTCTCCTCCAGCTCTCTCTCTCTTTCTCTCCTCCAGCTCTCTCTCTCTTTCTCTCCTCCAGCGCTCTCTCTCTCTCTCTCTCTTTCTCTCCTCCAGCTCTCTTTCTCTCCTCCAGCTCTCTCTCTCTCTCTCTCTCTCTCCTCCAGCTCTCTCTCTCCTCTTATTACACCCATCTGCCTATTTATCTGGACTTGTCACTGTCAGAAATTTTGGAGCCATTCTGAAATTCAATAAACATAAAAATATTTGCAGAACCTTTACCATTTTTAACCAGCGCCATGAAATCAGCATCAAACCTTTGTGTCTCTGATCCTTTTAATTATGATGCTGAGATCGATGTCTCTGTCACACACACACACACACAGGTTGCACCATTTAATTATGATTAGATTATAAAAAAAATAATAGTAAAAAAAAAAAGAAAAAAAAAACATTTGTAGACATGTTCAATAAAGAAAAACACTTTATTCAATAAAAACACCTTTACCACAAAAATACAACCTTGGCCCAGCCTCCAAAGAGATTGCATGCCTTAAATTGGGCGCATGTTAGTGAAGGCCGCTAACATGGATGTGATGACTGAGTCCTTGGAATTGTGTGCATTCTGTGGTCTCTCTCTCGATCCACAGAGATTCAGAACAGCTTGGAAGCCACCTTGAAGTGAGATGTTAAAACGTTTGTGTATCTTGACCAATGTAGCAGGGTTTGGCAAATATGTGCAGTATGTTGATGCATTACCCCTGAGTCCCTGCAGGTTTGGGGAGTGGAGTTGGGCTAGCATGGCATGACCCTAATTACTCACAACCTCTCAGACCATCAGAGACGATGTAATCTGGGTGTGTATTTTCGTGGATACCGCCATGGAGTCTGTACAGTACCACTTGTGATTCTTCCTGTTCACATAGCCCTCTTTAAAGAAGCTAGGTATCTCTTTGGTTGCCAACCAGTGCCTTTCATTTCCTGCGTCATGTTAATGCACTTGATACGTCTGGAAGAGTAAAGGAGAATTTGGCACATGCCACTTAATGTTACATTAGGTCAGCTTTCATTTATGACCTACGAAAGACCGGTTCTCAAATACCGAGTGCAGCATATGACTCATGAAAAAGGACACCTATTTTTAAAATTGAATAACTTAAAAATTGATAGTTTGAATTCAGTGAAGAAAATAGTTTTCTACGGCCATCTAAAAATATCTGAAGTTTAATGTAGCAATATTTCAACATTTAATATGCCTGTCTACTAACGTGGCTAGCCAATCCCTTTTACAGGAACCTGCTCAAGCACATTTGTAAAAACCTGTGCTTTATATTGCAACTATGGTGAGCAGGCCTTAATTACAATTTCTAGGAGGGAGCGGATCAGATCCTCTGACATGATCAACAGCTCGAATAAGGCCAGTACGCTTAAATCATCGACTCTCATTGATAAGTGCACTTGTACAATTTGTTTCGATAACTACCCTGTGGTAACGGCATTAAGAATTCACCTTCCTGGTTGGCCATAGTGAAATTTAAACCGAGGTTTTATGATCCAAAAATGAACCCATTAAGCTGTGGATCCTTTTGAAGAAAGCCTGCAAAAAAATAAAAAAAATAAACTAATGGCAGTGATTCATGTCTCTATGACACGAAAGGCATATATTTTAATGTAAATTATGTAAAATTGATCTAAAGGTAAATATATTATCTTTATGTTTGTGAATCTTAGCGAAAGATGGTATTGAACTATTAAAAATTTCCTTTCAACTTGAGAACCGTATATAATAAATTAACCGCTAGTCTGGGTACCTGTCGTGTCACTGATAGCAAGGTGATCAAATTTAAATAGTTTACCTGTTTAAAATATATTAGAAAATCTATTCAGTAACAGAAGTTACCATAAAAATAACTTGAGAGAGTTGCACCTTTTGATTTCAACACTTTTCCTGTTGACCAGGGGTTGTTGTCAATTTGAAAGGAAAATTGTGAATTGTGTGTATGTATGCTTAAACACGTATATTTTAATTCAATGACAGACCTATATTTGTATAAAAAAATTTTTTAAAAAAATTACAATTTTATTCTTTTAACATTTCTCTTAATATTAATTTTAAAATAATTTGAAATAATTTTAAAATAATTCAGCAGATGAGTTATTTATGGTAACTGGATTTTTGCCGATTACCTTACTCGGTTTCCATCATGTGATACTGTACATCTGAAAAATGGCTTTTTTTTCTTCTTTTTCATGGTTGCCATCGTTTCTCTGCCTCTTGGCTGGAATCAAAGCGATTATTTTAGATAGAAGTTGCCTGTTATGCGTACATATGGTCACACCATGTAAAAAAAAAAGACCTTGTGTTACAATCTGCCATTTGATTATGATCAAAATGTAGTATCTGTTTTTATCAGCTTAATGTGATTCTATTTTCCCTTTCTTTCCTCACTGAAACCAAGTAGTCTTTTCCCCTCTCTCCACACGATCAAAATGTCCAATTATGAGATATTAGGAAATGTTATACACTTTTCTAACCAGATCCTCATTTTATGTGTGTGCATATTCTAAGGCAGAGACACAATTGACTATATATATATATATATATATATATATAGGGAGATTAGTTGAATCTGCTACCTTGGTTTCAACCTTACAGTATCATCAGATGATTTTTATCAAATTGAGCACTTTTTTTAATACTACTGTTTCCTGGTCTGATTCAACTCTGACCATTAGCCGTTTTGCACGCACACGTGTGTGTGTGAGAGAGAGAGTTTTTGTAAATATTCTTTGTTTTTATTTTTGTTTTAAATGCATCCCTACCACCACCAACTTGTACTGTTGTTTTGTTTAAGTACCCTATTTTTTGTGAATATAAAACCCCATTATTTTGAGGACAGTGTTGCAGAGTATCCCATGAAAATAGAAATATCGATTAGGCAATTAGCGTCTGACTGCATTAAGCACTCTGTGTTGGTGTGCATTTCATATTTGAAATCAACACTATTGTTATAAATAACACGTTCAAGGAAATAAGCAATCCCTATTTAAAAAAAAATATATATATATATATATATATATATATATATATATATATATATATATATATATATATATCCAAATATATAATTAATGACTTTTGGTACATGGGATGCAATCAAATTTTGATCCTCAAAAAAAGTGCGTTTTATACACTAAAAAATATAGTGATTTGTTTTACAGAAAAGGCTGGCAATTTCATTATTTTTAGAGCTGAGGGATTATATAATCTCACAGTTATCAGAAGAAAAAAATATATATAGCACGTTTCATTGAATAATATAAACATATGTTTATTTATTTTCTATAATAGTCCTTTCTAGTTCTCTAATTAGGTTCTTGAGAAGTTAAAATTCATTAAGGAAGGTGACGTACTTTATTTTAACTCAAGTACTTCCGATCTCATCAGAGATCCTTAGAGGAAAAGTGTGAAGACAAACTTATTTTAACTCTGATCATTGTGATGGTGGATGTTATGAAAGCGCTGTTAGAATTACTTTAAATTTTTCCGTTGTAGCTATGTTTTTTATTATTTTTTATTATTATTATTATTTTTTTTTTTTTTTTTACACGGGTCCCACTATAAGGCAGCTAACCAGAGATCACAGAAATGCATTTTGAAAACATTGCTACTACACTCATAATAAATTTTGTTCAGTGTTGGTCGGTTGCTTTTGATATAGAAAGTCACGAGAATTTGAAGTTTCTGTTTGTTATCATGGTGAAGTATATTGCTGTTGATGAATTTCACCTTAATATCAAGAAGCTAATTACAAAACTCGAAAGGATTATTATAAAAATAAATATTAGTCAATGAAACATGCATGAATATATATATATATATATATATATAGCAAAGAAAGCCAGTATTAGCTGTTGATCGCAAACTCTATACCCTGACTGATAGCTAAGACTAATTGTCTGGTGTTAATGCCACAGGTCATTGAGTACTTTTCTAGTAGTAATTTTGTATTTATTGTTCGACTTACTTATTCTAACAGAATCAAGAGACTTCTCTCTCTCTCTCTCTTGTTAATGTTCAGTCAACTCAGCAGATAAACACTTCACTTCGGCCTATTCCATCGGATATTGTCTTGCAGAGATCAGTAGGTTTTTTTTTTTTTCGTCTACTTCACTATGTGAAGGGAAAACTTGTCCGATCAATGGCATGTTTTTCGGACGTTGATTGATAATAAAGCCAAAAAGATATGGGTGTTTTCCACATCCAGAGTATCTGAAAAATACAATGCCTGAGTTGTTGCTGTCGGGTAGGGGTGGTCAAAAATTAATTCCTTGAAGTGTCTGATTCATTTGCTTTTGTTTGGAACAACCTAATCAGAAAGCGAGTGAAAGGAAATGTGTTTAGTGACGCAATATAGTTTGTCGTTGCTGTTGAGTCCTCCTTTTACTGGTCGATCTTGAAAGATCAGTCGATTTTCATTAGCATGATTAACATACTGTTTCTAATATTCTTGTCAACCTTTCTATCATAATCAATCAGTTCTGTCCATGACGATGCCTGGCGCATTTGTGCCCATGACGGTGCCTGGCGCATTTGTGCCCATGACGGTGTCTGGCGCATTTGTGCCTATGAGCTATATTTTTCATTTATCCCCGACTTGAGAAGATCAAAGATGCTCCCAGGCCCTGTGCCGGCCTAAGTTTAAATTAAACTTGAGAGAATTTAAAAAGAACGCTTCAATAAATATTTTGTATTTGGAAAGTAATCCCGTTTCTAAAGTATTTTATATTAAAAATCATACACAAGGTGAATTTTTGTCAGTTTTTTTTTTTGTGTGTGTACAAACAATGTTCACCTTTGGATAATTCTCTCTCTCTCTCTCTCTCTCTCTCTCTCTCTCTCTCTCTCTCACACACACACACACATATGGCACAGAGCTTAGTACTTCAATTTAATTCAAATAATTATATTGAAGTTTTCGGCTCTTGTTTTGAAACATGAGAACTCTTATGTAGCGTGTTGGAATCATATTTTTAAATAAATAATTATATATATATATATGTATATATGAAATAGGGAGTTACATTTCAAACACTGTGTGTGTATAAATACACACACACACACATACGGTGTTTGAAATGTAACTCCCTATTTTATGTATGAGTGGCCAGTCAGGAGTGCTGACTTTGACAACCTGTGACTTTTCGGGGCTGGTTATAGGAAAGTCTACTATACGAAACCAAAACTTTGGGAAAATTGAAGGGTGAATACAAGAAGTTATGTCTTCCATTCCACAAGAGTTTCTGGTGAAATCAGTTAACATGATTCCTGGGCAGCTCAAAATGCTGGTAGCGAAATCGGGTGCCCATATCGAATTTTAAGTAAAACCTCATGCTAAACACTTTCCTCTCCTATACATTTTTAAAATAGGTAGTCACCTTTCAATCACCCTGTGTGTGTGTGTGTATATATATATATATATATATATATATATATATAATGAGATCGTCCTAATGTTCGTTTATGGTGGGTTATTTCAGCCTCTCTATTAATCATTTTCAAGGGTTTTTATTTCTGTTTTTGTAAATGTGAAATTTTCTGAGACACGAGAATATTTTTAGTTCTTAAACATGACTACTACATAATGTTTTTGTTCAATGGATGTATTTAAAATAGTTGAACTGTTGCTTTGCTTTATATATAAAAACTTATTTTAGTGATACTTGGGAAATTTTTCTCAAAGTGTCTAGAAACAGATTTGTGATCAATTTGTCAAAAGTGAGGGCTCACTGGACTGCAAGGTAGCTCATTAACCATCACCTTACTGCGTCAAGTTGCTAAAACACCGCAAGGTGGGCCTGTGGAAATTTTGCCGGCTTCAAACTAAGATATCAGCCTCAGCTATGTGACAAATTGAACAACTCGTGTGACTTAACAATTTGTCATTGCATTTATTCCCATGAGTGACCAGGGCTGCTGGGTGATCCAAGACACCCATTCTAAGATAAATTGCCGATTAAGATTTATTCCGCTCATTAGCACATTAGCCGGTTTTAAATACAGTTTTCCTTCTCCTAGACTGGTTGCCAACCAAGTTGAGATCCCAGTCTACCTTCTTATTTAACCCATAGCTGGAGGAAGAGGAAATGGGTTCATACTTTTCCCAAGGGATTTTGTGAAAAAATAACCAAAAAATAACTGAATTTGGCTCTCCAATATTTTCCTTCCGAGCCTCTAGTTTTCGTATAGATATTATTAATCTCACATGCATATACCTTTTGTTACAGACAAAATGTTATCTTATATAAATGCATAAATCAACAAAGAAAATGTCTGAAAAAATAAGTGGAACTCTCTTCTGGCTTTTTAGTCAACTTTGATCTTTGAAAATTGAAATGTAATCGTCTGACTTAATTCCTTTTCTTTTATTGATCTCTGTCCTTAATGGATTTTCTTTCACACACTGTAATCCTACTTCATTGAGCCTGGTCCGGACCTAGATGACGGATTAACCAACTGCTGTAAGCTTGGATGTGCGGGTGGTGTAACGGATAATGGCTCGGAATTGTTAATCGGAGAGCCTAGTTTCAATTCAGGGTCGTTATATTCACTTATGTACAAACAGCCTTGGGAAAGGTGTGAATCCACATATTCTCCCCGCAGCTATGGGTTAACTAGTAAAACTAGTATCACGAAACCATTATTGTCTCCAAATATAAAATAAAATTGGGTACAAAATATTTAGATTTCGGCATTAAATAACCTATAAAGGTGTTGATATGCCAACCAACCAGTCGGTAATCTCTTAATGGATTTATTGCCTTGAGGTGAAAGGGTTTAAAAAAAAAAAAGTAGCATAACTATTTATGTATAATATCACGCTCTTGAGGTTAAATGTTAGGTGTACATATACACAATTTTGTATTAAGCTTTTTCCTTTCACGTGTCTCACCATATTAGTCGCAATATACTGGAGAGCAAGATAAATGTTTGGTCGAAAGGTATAACATTTTAAATCGCCAACCAAACACTGTATTTGTTTTTAATATATATATATATATATATATAATCACGTTGATATTATAAAACTTTCGTTTGCTTCTTTGTTGTCCGTATCAAAGTTGGACGTCATGACAATTTCATCAGTATTGTCAGCATTGTTGTTTTTCATCGTCTTCAATGTTGTTCAGTCACCTTGTCTTTGTTTTTCCACCTCCCCCCTCCTCTTTCTTTCTATCTCCAGCGCTGGTATCATCTTCACTGCCATTCGGTGCATCTGACTCGCCATGGAAGTGTGCGTTTGCTTAGAATTCTTTCTCCCGATGCGAGCTTATTTTCGGCACAAGCTTGTTGCTTTCTTATGTGAGCATATGCGTGCTTGCTTTAGATTCCGCGTAAATTTAGTTTCAAAACCGGAGGGGGGGGTTAAAATCTCAATGTTCTGCATTTTGTAAAGTAGTAAAGTCAGTTATGTGCCATGCGTGATACACGCTTAGGCGATCATGTAGCTTTTTTCCTCGAAGTAGGTTGCCATTTCTTTCTGCGGTAAACCAGTTGCCATCCAAGGCTATAAATCCCAGTCTGTCCTGCTATTTACCCATAGCTGGGGGAAGAAGAGGATTCATACCTTTCCCAAGGGTATTAGCACGTAAGTGAATGTAATGGATTCGATTGGAATTCGAACTCGGCTCTCCAATTTCTCAATCCGAGCCGCTATCCATTGTCAGTTATGTGCCATGCGTGATACGCGCTTAGGTGATCATGTATCGAAAGATACATGACTGACGAGACAGATTTTTTCCCCGCAGTAGGTCGCCAATTATTTCTGCGGTAGACCAGTTGCCATCCAAGGCTAAGGAAACCGGTCTGTTCTAGCCGGTGAGAGAAGAAGATTCATATGTGAATGTAATGGATTCGACTGGAATTCGAACTCGGCTCTCCAATTCCTTAATCCGAGCCACTATACATTACTCCACCGTGTCAACAAATTCGAAGTGTCTGTGTGCGTTATACATCATGTGTTCCTATTTTCTTTTTTTTTTTTTTTCTTTTTTTTTCCCCTCCCATAATTTTGTGCCTCGAAGTCAGGGGGTGCACATTATAACCAAATAATTAAGACATATAGTGAACCTTGAGGTTAACGCCAAGTGGCGACAGTCTGATTTATGCTTGAACGCAATCTTCAGGCCATGTGTGTGAAGGCCTGACAATATATGCTGGTTAATGGAACATTATGATTATCATTTCAACTTAGAGCTAAAGAGCTCAATTAGAAAAGATCCAACTCAATCCATAAGTCGTTTGGCGCGTGAGAGAGGAGTTTCAGCTATGACAGTCCAAAGAGCAGTGAAAAAAGAGACTTGAAAATGAAATCGTACGTGGAACCTGTGAGGCACCTTGTTACTCCAGGACAGAAAGGTTGGAGAGGGCAAGGATCGTCTTGAATAAGTTCGAAAATGTTACTGGAATAATATATATATATATATATATATATATATATAAATAAAATCTCAAACTTAATTTCAAACCTTCATGATCTTCCGATCTTTAGCTATGATTAATTAATAATGAACATGCCAATTTCATTTATGATCGATTTCATCACGGTTCTTCTGTTAACTCTAGAACACTAACCATCAATTAAAGTTACATCACTACTAACCATGGGTATTGTAGAATAACATCTGCAGGTATATCATACCCAATTTTGAAAATATCAAAAAAAAAAAAAAAAAAAAATTAAATATGAATCTTTATCTGAAATATTTTACATGCAGGAACTTCAAACTTTGTAATTTGAATTAACATTAATATCAGCTAAAAAAACTTATTTAGGTAAGAAAATCAGGTACTGAAAATTGTAATTAAAATAGGAAAATTTGCGCTGGGTACTATATACCCATGGTTAGTGTTCTCGGGTTAAGCTTAGAGAGTAATTATACATTCTTATTGCTTAAAGTAGAGTCCAATAGTGTCATAAAACCTCGGAGAATTCCAGTAAGATATCTTTAAGCATTTCTAAGACAAAACGGTTCAGAGCTTCATCTAGCAATTGGAGAATTTTGCTGTTAAACCCACTATTTTAGGTCTTTTGACCAAATGAAAGGATGAAAAAGATTTGAAAAATCTAAATTTTCGATTACACTCTTGTCTATTCTCAATGAGTCGAAAAAATGAAATGGGGCTTTCTTTTCCGTGGGAATTTTTTATTTATTTTTTATCTGCATGTGTTATATTACCGAAGAGATCTGATAGTTTTGAGCTAGTTGTTTGCCACGATTAGGGTTGCAGAAGGATATTTGTGGGGGAACATACATACATACATACATATATATATATATATATATATATATATATATATACACGCGCACACCCATTTACTTGGTGTGATGGAAGTAGATGGTTTGTAATTTTTTCGAAATTTTTCTTTTTCCCTTCCCTTTTGATCTGCTTAAATCAAATAATTTCATACCTGATATTTGCAGACTAAATTCGGCAACTGCTATTGTTATTACTACCTTTTATCTTTCACAGCTGCTGCTGCTTCTGTCATAGCTGCCGCCCTTCCTTGCCCCCCTCCCTCTATCCGCCACATCAGAGCATGTGTAATCTTTTATTAAATTTGATCTCATGAAATGCTCTAAGTCACCTGACCCACCTTTTAACTGTCAGTCGCAAATAAATGCACTTTCTCTGGTATTTGGCACGATACTTCCTTGCCGTTCCGTTGCCGTGGCTTTTTTTTCCTTCTTCTTTGTGGGTTGTTTTTAAGCGGACTTCGTCAAGTAAAAATAAATTGTTGACTTACTTCAGACATTGTAGAACAATATGGCTTCTTTTTTTTTTCTTCTTCTTCCGAACCCTTTATTAATGAAAATATTTTTGAGCGTCTCTGTATGTTTGTGTGTAAGTCTTAAGAATGATTGATGCATATACATAATAATGTCCGCATAAATAAGGGATTCATAGATATTTTCGAATTTTAGGTTAGCCTGCCATAAGTATATATATATATATATATATATATATATATATATATATATATATATATATATATATGATTCCATCGCGTACACGACTCCAAAGATTTGACATATAATAAACATTCATGCTTTCATCACAATAGTAACCTCTTGAAAACGAAAGAAAATACTTCAGGCTACACCTGCATTTCCAACCTATGAGTAAAACATTTCTTCAGTTATTCTAAACATCGCTTGAGAATGAAACTGTACTCTAAATTTTAAGTTTAATGTCGAAATTAAACTTTAGGATTTGAGTAAAGTTTCGAAACAGTAGTTTCCATATCGCGATGGAATCATTTAAAAAAAATTATCATTTAAGCTATACTTCTGAATCGAGCACTGTTTTTAAAAAAATAACATAAATACTAAAGAATTTTGGATCATTAACTGTTCTTTCCAAATATATCAATACACACACACGTGTGTTATATATATATGTGTGTGTGTGTGATTAGATCAGCCGATTGCACTATCTTGGTTTCAACCTTTCGATATCTTGAGGTATCTTTTAAAAGAAGCAAAACCTTACAACAATCATAGCAACCTTTTGTCAACAAGAAAAAATAATAACACCTCCAGACCAAAAAAAAAACAAAACAAAACTTTTGAATCAGAGATCGGAAATCATGACCCGTTGTATACATACTAAAAAGTTCCTTTTGAGTTCATAAGCTGTTGGATGAAATGAAAGTATGTATATTTCTTTTAATTCCCCACCGATACATTTTCAATACATTTTCCCCTCCTCCTCGCCTTCTACCGTACCTTACGCCGTGCGCTTATTTATTTAAATATACCGTTCATAATTTTTTTTTTCATTTAAAAAAAAAATAAATCAATCAATTGACCGAAATCGCCTGACGATACGAAAAGGTTGAAACCAAGGTCGAGGAATCGGCTGATCTCCTAATTTTCTGTACTTAAAAGCACGACATGTTAAATTTTTATCTTTTTTTTTTTTTTTTTTTTTTAGCAATTTTTAATATTTTATATATATATATATATATAAAACGTATGTGTATGTAAGAACTCCAAATAAAGAAGCAAAACTCATCTTAGCCGACGAATTTCCTGCTCTGAGAGAATTTATCAAGACATTTGCATGAAGTCCCTCAGAGAATGAAACACATCGGCTAAGTTTTCCTGTTATCTTTAATTAACTCACTCACTCTATGTAATATATATATATAATCGCTCATAACCGTCTTTTAATAACTATTGCTCTACTCTTGGTATTGAGCCCTCTTGAGCAAAAAATTATAGCTAAAAATATATCTGTAAAATGATAATATTCGTAGACATTAGACTACATCACTTAGTGTCTTTCATAGTTTACCTTGACTTTCAGCTAGCATAAAGTACATTTCATGTTGGTTTTCGTAAGCGTGTCTTAGATGTGGCACAAGGCCGATAGTATGGGGCACCTAGTGAGGATCGAACTCCCTATTCAATCGTAAGATCAATTGCGACTGAGTTGTGAGTTCAATATCTGGCTACAGCTGAAGTAAGCGAGAAAAAAAATTAAGGGTTGAATTGAAAACTGATAACTGACACGGGGACATTCGGAAGAGGCATGTTACGTGGAACTAGAACAATCTACCCCGGTGGACGAAATAAGATTCAGTTCGAAATTCCAATCACCTGAAGACCAGGCCTACAACGGCCGAAACGCCATGGCAACAAATATGACAACAGTCCGAACAATGTAAATAGTATAAATAAGTATTTATTTTATCTGCCAATATATAACTTTGATATTGTTAAAAATGTAATAAGCGCTTGCATTACGAAAGACACACCTTTGGTACGTTTTAAATGTGAATCAGAAAAGTGTAATAATTAAATTATATGTGGCTCTGTCTAAAGAATTTTGAACACTTGCCACTCAAGGCTATAGGGGCCCAGTCTGTTCTTCCTTAGCGTGGGGGTAGGAGTGATGGATTTATACCTTTTTTCAAAGTATTTTTTAACCTAGAATCTGCCCACACCCTTGCAGGTCAAGGTCAGTTTCGATTTTATCAAAGATTTTTTTAAGAGGTTTATATATAACACCTTTTTCTTGTTTTTAGTCAGCTTCACTCATACTCCCGCCAGTCACCTTGTTCAACTCAACCTGATCAATTACACCTTAATTTCGTTCTGATTTAACTCACTTTGTCTCTTCCTATCGTTTGATAAACTCAACAGATGCTCGCAAGAGTCCTGATGTTAATTTTCTCTTATTAGGTAGCGTAGAATTTGTTCTAACTTGTAATAAATGTGGTTACGTCTTTCCCGGGAAGGTAGACCTCAGAAATCACCAATGGCACTGTACGTTGAAGTCAGTTATGTGCCATGCGTGATACACGTTTAGGCGATCATGTATCTTTCGATACATGACTGACGAGGCAGATTTTTTTTTTTCTCGAAGTAGGTTGCCATTTCTTTCTGCGGTGGACCAGATGCCATCCAAGGCTCTAGAACCCAATCTGTATTGTTATTTTACCTATAGCTAGGGGAGAAGCGGATCCATACCTTTCCCAAGGGTATTAGCACGTAAGTGAATGTAATGGATTCCACTGGAATTCGAACTCGGCTCTCGGTTACTCCATCGAGTATAAAACGAAACTAACAAAATGCTAAATTTTATTTTCCGCGTGTGGCCCGCGGTCTGCAATTTGCCCATGGCTTGTTTAGAGGGTCATTTCAGCAAGCATGGTTTTCATTGTCATTTAAGACAAACAGCTAATTTCTAAACCCACTAGATTCCCTGTTAAATTTTCAAGGATTGCTCATTGTTGTATTTAAATTATAATTTTGCTCTTTGCTCTGTTACTCGTTGGTGAAAGTGATTAAAAAAAAATGCATTCATCCCAACGGAATTAAAGTTTGTCGGCATTTTGCGGTCAAAGGTTACGTAAACTGGTTTCGGGCTTGTCAAACTTCTTTTACCTCTTGAAAATGCATCTGATGAAAGGCAGTTTCTTTCTAGTACTGATGTCGACCCAGGATAACAATAACCGCTTCGTGTTTCTAATTTTAGTCAAAGTAGAGGGGAAAATACATCCGAATAATTTAACATAAATTTGCATAAATCACTTCGTAAGTTACCTGAGAACGGGTGGATAACTGAGATCTGAAAAATTAACCAAAATAAACAAAATTAAGTTTCGCCTATTTTTTTTTTTTTTTATTTTATTTATCTGATTGATGATAAAACCTTTCATATAATTTTAAAGAAAATGGTGTAAATTGGTGTAGTCACACGTTTTTTTTCTCTCTGAAGTGAGCGCGTATAAATTTAACACATGCACGCTCGCATCAACAAAATTACGATAAAGAAATCACAAAATGAGAAAAAAAAAGCGGGAGTTATTTGCTGGAACCTCCTGAAGAGTGGATTGAACAATTTCAAAGGCGTTCATCTATGAAACTCGAGTGGTAAATATATCAATCAGCTAAGGACAAATTTCATTTGTATAAATCTTGTGTATATATATATATATATATATATATATATATATATATATATATATATATAAAAGACCACTTTAAGGTTCCATGTATTTACATTGAGCTCTCTGGATTTTATCCTCCTTAGGTTTACCCATACGGATTACCTAGCTTTTCATAAATATATATATATATATATATATATAATGAGCGTTCAAGGGAAATCGTGGAAAATTGTGGTTTAAAAGCAGTAAAATCGACCTTGCTAACCAGACGCCCTCTATAGCTAAACTGGTATAGCACGTCAGGCTATATGATGATTCCGTGTAGGGTACAGGTTCAATTCCTGTCGGAGGACACAGATTTTCTATGGAAATGTCTCGGACGTTCAGGCCGGTAAATGTTGTTAATACTCTTTATTATAAACCGAGCATTTACTTAAATGTGTGTGTGTCTCTCTCTCTCTCTCTCTCTCTCTATATATATATATATATATATATATATATATTAAGCGTAAGAAAGTGTGGGGGCGCCGAGTGAAGATCGAACTCACTTGTAATTGATCTAGCGAGACAAATTTGCTAACCATTACACCATGTCGGCGTGCCCAAATCTTTTATATACGAGAGAGAGAGGGGGTGCTTAAAATCGACTGTATTTATAAACAAGTGGTGCTCAGTGTTCGGGGTAGAGTGTGTTATAAAGTACGCAAAACACTAGCAACAAAAGCTTGAGTGAAGGTTTTAAAGACAGATTGAGAATACTGTAGCTCTCTCAGACAAGCGTACGACTGGAAAATGCCATGCCTTTGTGACCTACTATTTACTACTGTTCCATGAGCAGACGTTCTGCTCATAGCGGACGGATGAGTTCATTTTTTAATAAGTTTAGTCTGTTTTTCTACACAACAGAGCGTTTATAGTTTTCCGCGGCGTGGGCAGTGCGGCTTTAATACAGTACAAATTTCTCTAAACCGAACATCCCATCCGTGATGTTCGGTATTTAAGGATACTGTTCGGATTCGGGGAAAAAAAAGCTGCTGTGGCAAGCTTAAAATTTTTATTAACTTTTAGAGTTTAAGATACAAAAGATAGTTTGTAACGTTGATTCGTTTTTTCTTAGTGTAGATTGAATACATAAATGCACAAAAAAGTAATTGACAACCAATAGTAACTGAAAAATTTGGGCTAAATATATATATATATATATAGTAATTTGTGAAAAACTAAGACACATTATGAAATATTTAAAATTATGGGCAAGTAATATCGTATTCAAAAACAATTACAATCTGAAGGAAGTAAAAAAAAAAAA